CCCTCCCCTAATTGCCCTGGTGCCTCAATTCCTCTTCACCTGGTGGTGACCTCTTCCCTTCCTCCAAAGGATACATAGCTCTTTCCTGGCCATCACGCCCCCACTGGCCTTGCCTGCAATCTGACCCAGCCTCATTGCCCATATAAGTTTAAGCTCCTCACCATCTCCCCTTACTACTCCTATTACAACCCTTAACTACTAGCCCCCCTCCCCAGTCACAATTGGCAGAAGCAAATCAAACAAATTCCCATTGACTGCTATTCTTTGTAAATTGACAATTGTTAGTTGATGCAGGTTCTGACACACTGATTGTATGGTAAAAACCACATAACCTCTGATTGGGCTCAACCATTCATTTCAAGTAAGTGATGAAATGAGCTCTGAGGACAAGACTTGGAACAGAGGAAAACTCAGGTGTATCAATTCACCTCTCTTAGTCTCTGCATCTGAGCACACACACTGGTGTTTCTGGTATGGGATATCATTGAGTTTTGACTCTATCCATTTTATGCATAAGGTGCAGATCTCACTGATTTGAATATGCACTTATACAGATGCACTTAAAATTGGTGAGCTGAATGTTCCTTTCCAACCATCCTAATATTTACAGATAGGAAAGCTTATTGAAACACTTCAAGGCAAAAATTGGAATTTATCATTTATTTATTTAGTTGTTTGTTTATTTATTTAATTTAGATATAGCATGGTTACAGTAAAGAAGATCGTACTTTAAAATATGACTGAAAATCCTGCTTTGAAATTGGAGAATATGATATAGTAACTATTGTAGAGGATTTTTTCTTTCCCCTTGCTGTATGCTGATATTTAAATCAAAGGGTGAGTTGTCAAACCTTAACGGATTTCAGTGGAAACACAAACAGCAGCTATAATCTACAACAGAAAAAAAAATTACATTTTTTACATATTTGCCATTTTTACAAAGTGGTGTTAAGCATTATTTAGATAATGTCCATTAGCATCCTTAACTTTTGAAAGCAACTTGTGGGTGTCCACCTTAAATCAACATATTAGGTAATCTCTTGCATTAAACGTCATGGAATTGTGCCCAGGTACCTAAATAGGTGAACTGAAATTTTATTTGCCCACATGCACGAAAGAGACGTATTTAGATGTAGAAAAGGATTTATTTACATATGAAAATTTAAAGTTAGGGGGAAAAAACCATTGTATTTGAGGTAATTCTTTAAGGACTGCATTAATAAAAAGGTTCAAAAGGTGAATAAATATTTTGAAATGGGACAACAGGTAGAAGTATATTCCCCCCATCCCATATGACAATTTCTCAAACCAGTTTTCATTACCACTGAATGTCCAAAAGAAAAAAAGACACAATTGCAAACATGATGTCCTTCACAGGTTAGTCTGCATTTCAGGAGGTTGAGATCCCAACCTAATCTCACTTTCCTGAACTGGTAGGAAACATCTAGCTAACAGAGCATTTCTGGAGGGAAGTACTAATTGTTGTTGACCTGTAATGGGTCTGGAAATCTAGTAGTAAGTCTCAGAATGACTGATGAGGGCTATCCTCAGCCAGGAAATCTCAGCGAAGGGCCTTGAGCAACTCACTCTCTTGCTTTTTCAGCTCCGGTTACTTCAAAACAAATTTTGTAGGCATAATATGATGGAAGACTCTCAGGTAAACTTTTAATGCAATATATCAATGCATTGAATGAAATTCATACATGCGTACATACAACTGTAGTTAGTTTGGAGAATGGGAGGTTTGTGAGAAATACATGGAATATTTAAAATAATGAACTCTTTAGACACGAATACAGTTCTAGCATTTCCTTTCCTAATGAAAAGAAAAAGTGTAAGTCTTTTTCTTAAAAAGCTTTTTCATCTCCATTTTAACATCCCGATTTCTCAGGGTATAGATAAATGGGTTCAAAACTGGGGTAATAGCGCTATATATGAGGGTGATTATCATATCTCGTTGAGAGGAGGTACCCACAGTGGGAAGCATGTAATTAAACAACACAGGAACGTAGAGTAAAGCCACCACAGTCAGGTGGGATCCACAGGTGGAGAAGGCTTTTTGCCAACCACGCTGGGACTGCACTTTGCAGAGAAGGAAAGTGATAATGTAGAGGTAGGAGAGGAGTATGAAGATAAAAGGACCCATAACAACACAACTGGTCACAGTACTGAGAAGCATGAGGTTGAGGTATGTGCTGCCACAGGCCAGTTTCAACAATGGCTTGATATCACAGATAAAGTGTTCAATTAGATTTGGCCCACAAAAGGGAAGGCGAGCAGTCACCACTACATGCATCAAGGCATGGAAAAACCCAGTCGACAATGCGGCCGTTGCCATTAAAACACAAAACTCTTTTCTCATGATAAGAGTATAGCGCAAGGGGTTGCATATTGCCACATAGCGGTCATAGGCCATGATTCCAAGGAGGATGCCTTCACCACTGCCCAAAAAATAGAAGAAGAAGAGTTGGACCATGCAGCCATTGAAAGAGATGGTTTGTAGGTCTGTTAGAAACCCAGCCAGTGTCTTGGGTACAGTGACTGTGGAGAAGAAGATGTCAAAGCAAGAAAGATTACCAAGAAAAAAATACATGGGACTGTGAAGGCGAGGTTCTGCTAAAACTACAGTCACGATAGTACCATTCCCCACTAATGTGGCCATATACAATAGCAGAAAAATTGCAAAGAGTATATACTGGAGCTTCAAATCATTATTTAGTCCCAACAAGATGAATTGTTCCACCTTGGTTTGGTTCTCCATCACTAAAAAGGAAGCAGAAAGTCATAAATCTGCACAGAAATAATTACTCCGTGTTGATTAATATTTTGCCTCTTTCTTATGACCAGAAACAAAAAAGCACATAAAAGTATGGCAGGAGAATAATAATAATGGACTTATTATTACGAACACTATACATCTAAGAAGTAAAGGATAGATAACAAACTACTTATCTGAAGCAAAACCCACTTTTCACTATGGTAGAAATTAACAGATGAGGCATAGGTATTTAAATAAATGAAGTAATATCTTCATATCTCTAGAAATACTTAGAGGTCTACAGTGGCAAATGTTATGGAGGCATTATTATTCCTTATTAGTTAGAATTACCTTGTCTAGTCCAGCATATAGTGATCATAGAATGTTGTTTGTGATGTCTAAGAGAGAAGGATGTTATTCTGAATTCAGTGCCCTGGGTCTGAAAGATGGACATGTATACAAATTGCAAACCCCTATCCCACAATTCTACCAATCAGGTTTGTGGAATTTCTTTTAATGTGAAATATGTCTCAAAGTGCTGATTATAGAATCATTGCATAAGAGTCTTCTAAACACTTTCTGCTTACACAAAGGATATGGGGTCCCTCACCTTGTTTTACAGCTGCTAGTAATTATTGATGCAAGTGATCTTAGAAACCACTGTTGCTAATTTCAAACAAATAGACTAGCTCATACATAGCTCTCATAACATGCTCTTTTCATCAGGCCTGGGGATCCCCTGGCAGCAGGGAGCCCACATGTTGGCTGCGCCATGTCTAACATTCTGATTTTAATCCCCTCATGATCTTGTTCATATTTATGTTTAATTGTTTTAAGTGGTTTTATAATATGTTTTAATTGTTTGCTTTATTGTACGCTGCCCAGAGTCACCCTGTGTGAGATGGGCGGCCCTATAAATTTGATAAATAAATAAATATTGCAAGAAGAAACTAATCAGCAACTGAAGAAGATAGTTAACTAATCTTATTTAGTCTCCACCTTGCTTTATTAAAGCAGTGTGGTAACTGATAACATACCTGCTTATGTTGAATGTCTTAGAGCTTATTCTTGACCACTTCTTGACTCCTAAGTTGTACTCACAACAGTTACATCTGCAGACAATTTCCTAATCATTCAACAGTAGCACATAGGTGAAGCATTATTGTGTCTACATGCTTCCGACTACTTCATTGCTGGTCCATGCAGTTGTAATGCACTGCACATCTGACATTATCACCTGGTGCTTTCAGTCCTGCCAAGAAAGGCTATATTTACCAAGTGTGAAACAATATTCATTCTTACAGACTAAGTTCATGCAACACAGGTAGCAATTGTGTAGAATAAATGTAGCTCGGGGCTGGGTTCTTAGTGTTCTTTCAGCTCATTCTTCTTCTTGCAGACATTTCATTAGCAGACTGGGTACTATCGTCAGTACCCTGACTGGGTAGCGATATTTGTTGCCTGTTTATATGTAGCTGCTTCTCCAAACAACCTTTTATGGATTTGGACAGAATGTGTTGACTGGGCTATTTCTTCATTGATTGGCTTATTATTAGTTGGTGCATATTGTGGTGATTGGGTACCATTTCCTGCTTATCTCTAAAGCATTTTCCAAGGCAGGGGATATCCACTTAACTTTATAAAAAAATATCCATCAGCACTTAACCAACTACAACACAACTGATTCAATTCACACACAGTGACAACAACAACAGAGAGCCAGTTTCGTGTTGTGGTTAAGGCACCAGGCTAGAAACTGGGAGACTGTGAGTTCTAATCCTGCCTTAGCCCCAAAACCAGCTGGGTGACCTTGGGCCAGTCACTCTCTCTCAGCCCTGGGAAGAAGGCAATGGCAAACCACTTCCAAAATCTTGCCAAGACAAATGCAGGGGCTAGTCCACACAGTCTCCAGGAGTTAGGACTAACAGAGAGAGAGAGAGAGAGAGAGAGAGAGAGAGAGAGATGCAGTCACAGAAGAAACAATCCGAAGTAACACACCCTGCCCAAAGTCACACAAGGCTAGGAGGACAAGCTGCTCTATAAACCTTACTTTCCCATGTTAGTGTACTAAGGAAGAAGAATCTTTATTGCCATCAATGACCAGTCAATAAAACAGTGTTCATGCATAAAACTCATAAATGAAAAAACAAATACAATTATTAATTAATAAATTAGGTAAACAGATCAAACTGCTGCACATCTTACATATTACATGACAAAATTTGGCCTCACTTAAGGAAATGGAGTAATTTGAATCTGAAAGTAAACGTTTTAAATAAATCTGGTTAGAGTGACCAGAATACTTAATCTTGGAACATTGTCTTACCATAGTGCAAAATCCAGACCACATAATATGGACCTTTATGTTTTGGGCTTACATGTTTCGGACTTATGGTTTGTGAGCTCAGGATATCTCAGAAACACCCACAAACTGTAAACAAAAGGCCTAAAAGTGGTAAGACAATATCACTATTGAACCAAAAAGAAATGATGATATTTAATGACTGAATGGGAAACTGATGCAATCTTTGATATAAACTATTGTTAGCTTTCCAAGCAATGTTAGAGCACTAATATCTAATCCTACGTAGTCATCCCTTTGGTCCACCAAATTTCAATTATTTGACAACAGAAGAAAAAGAGCAATGGAAGATCTTCCTGAATTCATAAAAGTAAAAGTTCTAAAAGTTCTGATGACTTCTTTGAGCTGAGGGCTGCCTGCAGTGGAGCTGGCTTGTACTGGCTCACAAGAGAAAATTGTTAATTTTGGGAGGAATTTTGCAAGCTGGTTGAGGGTATAGCTAAGTTGTGAACCCTAGCACACCGATCAGCTTTTGGGCAGCTGGCTGCACAGAGCGTCAGAAGCAATTCATCAGCACACCACTGGATGGCTGCCACTCAATTAAAACATTGGCATCTCTTTTGCACAAGAAGGACTTGATTAATCCAAAATATAACAGAAGGAGTATTTCATTTAGTCTATCTAGATTAATAGTGTAAACTGCATCCAAAAATAGATTTCATTCTGAAAACATTGCAGATTTTCAATAAAGTGCCACCAACTTAATGACTTCAGAAATAATGTGTAATATATATAGTTTAGCATGAAGACATAATCTAGACAATGCTAAACTTCTTCATTTTAAAATGTACACAGCAAAAGTAGTTTCTCTTTGCTTCCTGAAAGGGGTCCTCTATCTTGGCTGCCTTGCAAAAAGGCTGAGAAGGATTTTTCTTCCATCAGATGCTTTTGAAATCCTACTATGGACCAATTTCATCATCATCATCATCATCATCATCATCATCATCATCATCATCATTATTATTATTAATAATAATAATACAGATACACATATAAATGGATGGGTATGGATTTTTTTTTGGTATGTTTTGGTCTGTCTTTCTTTTTCTTTTGTAATAGTTATAGTAGGTTTGATTGATTACTCAAAAGATAATGGCAAACTCAAAGCATGTGATATTAAAGTCAATAAAACACAATAATTACAACTATTTTGCCACCTTAGAATATGCTTAAATGAGTTCATCATCTTTACAAGTGGTCCGAGGGTTTTCCTTGTATGTGTTTGTGTGTGCATGTGTGTGCGTGTGGGTTATCATGGTGAGAATTCAATTTTTTTCTTATTGTACTCTTCAGCTGGATTTACCCATTGTCAAAGTACCTCAGAAAGGGATATCTGCACATTTCCACGATGGAAAGAAGGATCAAAGAAAAATCGTCAGGATAAAATGCCCATATCAAACATCTATTTCTCTTAGATATTCAGAAAGTTCATACCTTAAGCAAATCTCTTGCTCAATCAAGAATGAAATTTGAAGAAATGCATACTTTGAGAAGCAGGAGATCAGCTACATGTATTTAGATGGGTTGCAAGAAATAAAGCACCCTTCTAGAATATCTTCCCAGTGGTTTCCTACATTTTATGATGTTTACAAACCATTCTTGGCTGCCACTGGGGAAAAGAAGATGCAATCCATGAAGTAGTGTGATCCTGTGGGGATAAATCTACTGAAGCTAAGAATGTAAACCATTTGTTCTACCAAATGATGCTATTTAAGTATATTTTTAATGGCCCAGTTTAATTTTCCAATCACTGAAATAGTACCATAAAGCTCTTCCTGAATGATAATCAAAACAAGATAAGTCTGCCATGGTTTATTAAATAATAGGCCAGAACAATATGCATAAGAACTGCAGGGGGTGGAGGGACATGAAAGCAATTTGGAAAAGTCCTCCTATATCATAAAAAGCACTTGGAATTCATAAGGTGCATATTAAAATATATTAATTTATTCCTTTTTATATGTAAAGCAGAGCTGACATCTTCTAACACTGAATGCAGTGGCCAACAAAGAAAAAAAGAATCTAACTGCTTTCATAATTTCTTTTATTTCACTGACTGTATGGTAAAAACCACATAACATCTGATTGGGCTCAACTCATTCATTTCAAGTAAGTGTTGAAACAAGCTCTGAGGACAAGACTTGGAACAGAGGAAAACTCAGATGTATCAATTCACCTCTCTTAGTCTCTGCATCTGAGCACACACACTGGTGTTTCTGGTATGGGATATCATTGAGTTTTGACTCTATCCATTTTATGCGTAGGGTGCAGATCTCACTGATATGAACATACACTTATACAGATGCACTTAAAACGGGTGAGCTGAATGTTCCTTTCCAACCATCCTAATATTTACAGATAGGAAAGCTTATTGAAACACTTCAAGGCAAAGATTGGAATTTATCATTTATTTATTTATTTGTTTGTTTGTTTATTTGATTTAGATATAGCATGGTTAAAGTAAAGAAGACCGTACTTTAAAATATGACTGAAAATCCTGCTTTGAAATTGGAGAATATGATATAGTAACTATTGTAGAGGATTTTGCTTTCCCCTTGCTGTATGCTGATATTTAAATGAAAGGCTGAGTTGTCAAAGCCTTAATGGATTTCAGTGGAAACCCAAACAACAGGTATAATCT